ATGCAGGTCAGCTCAGGATATCAGAGGAACTGCCAGCCAGAAGTAGTCTCCTTCGTGGGGAGCTCTTGTTTTCTGCAACGAGGTTCAGCACTACTGACAGACTGAGTGTCCAATGTTCCAGTTGTGGCAAAAAATGCTGCGAACTTGGGCTGAAATGTGTCCTTCTTAGATATCAAAGCTGTTTTCCAGTTTCCTCGGCTCCAGATGGAGTGTGTCCCAGTGACCACACAGAGCTTTGTTCAAATGCTTACATTAGCAGAAGGATGGGGATTGCATTGAATCATCATCTGCTGTCAAAAAGCCAAGAGTTGTTCAGAATGAAAACAGTTTCCCCCAAAGAGGCTAAATCCCTTGTACTAATTAGTGTTGTTGGTGCATGTGTGTGTGTGTGTGTTGATGATGGTGATAATTCCGTGCCTCCGCGTCTTAAAATAGAGACAGTCTTCTTACTCTCTGAGCCACAGGGTGAGTAACCTTGACCCCTAAGACCCCTCACTGGGCTCACGTGTGTGTGAGTCCTGTAGGAATCGTGGAATGCTTTCTCCCCCTTGTTGGGTCCAGACATTCAGAATGAATAAATTAGAGGGTGGTGGTAACACTGTCATTGTCATCGCCGACAATGTGGCAACTGTCTGTCTTTCTCATAGGGCTCAATAACAAGGGTAAGTATGATCTTTCATCATGAAGCACTGGGGTGTTCTTTATACACAGTGGCTGCACCAGCTGAAAATAGCCCAAACATCTTGCTATTTTCTCTTTCCCAATTTTTGCCTATTCATACCCAAGAATAAAAGACTCAGCCTGTTCAGCCTTTCCAGAGATTTAAAGAACATTCCGAAGATCTAAGGAATATAATATTCTTATAGTGTCCGACAAAGGGCAATATAACATATTCACCTTGCTTGGGTCGGGACAGCCATTTGTAGGCATCCATAGTTATTAAACACCTACCATGGGCCAGACTTCGTGCAAGATGCTAAGTGAATATTGGTACAGGGAAAAGACAAAAAGCCAAAAGTGCGTAGATGCTACATAAGTCTAAAAAGCGACTTCCCCATGTCCCTGAAGGAGTTGATTTTGCTATGCGCATCTTCCTGCCTTCTGGTCCCGTGCTCTGACCACAACCCTTCACCACTAGACCACACTTCCCCAAATAAATAACTACTTCTGCATGCTGGGGACGAGTTGAATGCGGCAGCATTTACGTAGGCGGCACAGACAGCACCCTTTCACTTAGCGTTGCAACAACACCAGGCTAAACAATGTGCAGTGACTTCCAGAGTTGTTGAACAAACTTGATGCCCATTAGGTCTCTTAATCCAAGTGCCACACAGAGAGAGTACAAAGTAGGAAAAGCCTGTATCTGATATGGAACAACTGCGGGGGGGGGGGGGGGGAATGAATTTGTTTTACATTTGAGTTAAATCAGATGTGGGACGCTACCCTCCTTTTCACTTTTGGGTCCCCAGATAGAAGGAGCTCAGTACATAGCACACAAACTACCTAAGTTTTGGTTTTATGTGCTCAGACTTGTCTAAAACATGGAATTCCCGCCCTGCTGGAAGGCAGCACCATGCTCACAGAGGCACACGGCACATCCGTCTCAAAGTCACCTTGACCTTTGCAAAGATCATTTCACATGTTGGTTTTGATTTCCATTTTTTAAATTGATTTATTTATTTCCATTATTCCATTTATTTCCATTTACTGATTTCCATTTTTAAAATTTATTTATTGATGCATACAAGAACTGGAATAAAGGCCAGAAGACGGGTGAGAGACAGAGTGGGGAGCAGAACAGGCAGATCTACTGAAATACACTGCTGAGGGGAGCAGCGGGCGAGACAGGAGAGGTCTGCTGCGCCATGTGGGCTAGCTTCCTGGCCGGGGATAGAACTCAGGTCGCAGTGGATCATGATAGTTTGATAGCTCTGAGATTTAACGCCTGTGCCACCAGGCAGTCCTCTTGATTTCCATTTTTTAAGGCCACCTCACGTGAGTTCTATTTAAAACATAGGGGTTTGCAGTCCTGAAATGGATACCACAGGTAGACTGACATGTGAGCGTATGTTAGAATGATCACAGGTTCGGACTTAATGGTGCAGGAGAGGGAGGCAAGATTTTATCATCAGAAAGCACTGCTTCAGATAAACTCTTCCCTTCCTAGAGGTTGTGCTGGCATTTCAACCTTGAGGTGGTTTCCCAGAGGACAGTAGATCTTGGGTCCATCTCTGTATTGCCATCGCCTTCTCTAATACCAGTTCCCAAACCCTCTTCTGAATCCCACAGCGCCCTGCTCTAACCGCTCACCGCACTTACTGCTACCCTGCAGTTCTCTATGGACGCTGTCTTCCAGAGAAGGCAGCCATCTCTTTGAGGGTAGGGATAGGTCCACCCCATCAGAGTGCAGGGTGAGAGGGGGCTCTGAACACAAGGAACATATGGACGGATGTGTGGTTCTGTCCTTTCCAGAGGACAGATTAGTTCCCCAATTGGTTAGAATGGTGCCAGGAAGGAAAGAGTTAAACTAGCTGGAGGAAACAGACTCAGTCGAAGACTCATTTTCTTCTTCTTCTTTCCTTTCTTGATGGTCAGGCAGGATACGTGACATAGGAAATAAGTCCTGGATATCAAATTTTGACACATCCTTTAGGTGCTGGCCTGAGCTGCTTGAGACGGAAGGAAGAACAAGTAAATGAAATCATTCTAGGTTTTCTCTTAAGTGGCCAGAGATCCACTTAGGAGTGGAAGGCCAGGCCAGATCCAGCTAGGAACTCAAAGGGTGACCTACTTTGTCCCAAGCTAGCAAGAAGAGATAGCCTTTGCCTTCAGAGTCCCCTCACCCCTTAAATACTCAAGGACAGTGAACTAGGAGAACCGAAGGCCAAAGAGTTGCTCCAGGATTCACAGCAGCTCTGGGAAGTCTGCGTGGATGCATTATGTGTTTTTCCTATTCTCTCCCTTTTTTTTAAAGTGAGAAAAAAAGAGCTGAAATTCCCACCAACATAAACCAGTGACATACAATGATGAAATTCTGTTTTCACCTCTGCCTGTGACAAGGAATGCAAAAATAGCAAGTGGCCCAGTTCCACGAATCCCCGCCTCCCTGCCCTCCCGCGGCCGGGTTCGCGTCTCCGCGCGCCGAGGGGAGCGCACGGCCGGCCGCGAGCCGCGCTGCCCCGCGGGCCCGGGCGGTGATGTCAGCGGCGGGAGTGGCCGCAGCCGGACCCGAGGCCGCGGCCCCCGGGCGCCGGGAGGGAGGCGGCCGGGCCGGGCCGACGGCGCGCCCGGTGCGCGGCGTCGCCTGGAGACGGCCCTGGCGGCGCAGTGTTGCTGTAAACAGCCGCGTCCCTGTTACTATCTATAGCAGGATCGCCCGGCTCCAGGGCGCGGCGGCGGGAGGCCGGTCCGCGGTCCCGCTCCCCGCGCTGCGCCCCAGGCCCGCCCACTGCCCGGCGGCGCCTCGCTTCTCTCCAGGGGCCCAGCGTGACCCCCGGGCCAGAAAATTAGGGGGGGCGCACGGGAGTCCTGCGGGGACCCGCGACTTGCACCCAAGAGGGGCCGGGTCGCCGGGACCGAGACGCGGGCGTGCGACCCCGACTGTCCTTTGCAGAGCAGCAGGAGATTGGGGGGCGCTGGGTAAATGCGGCGCCCTCCCGAGCACCTGGCTGCCCCCAAACTCCGTTCTGCAGCCCAGCGGGCCCGGCCCGCGTCCCCGCAGGCTAGTCCCGGCCTGCGCGCCCCGGGGTACCGGCCTGTCAGCAGCCGCTGTGCGCCCCTCTCCAGGCCCGCGCTGGAAAATCACCCGCGGCGGGTCCCCGGGAAGCCCAGCTTCGTGGGGGGACTGAACGACCCCCACTTCGCCAGCTCGGATATGCGCTCCCGCTAAAAGCTCACCCCACCGGGTTACCCCGAAGTGATGACCTTGTCCATCCATCCCTCTCCCAGGGCCCCGGGTCCTCGCCCAGAGCGGGGCGACGACCCCCTTCCACCTCCTCGCCTGGGGGGGCTGCGCAACGTTGAACCCCAAGTGTCCCCGGCGTGTGGCAGGAACGCGGGGACCCTCCCGTCAGGCTGGGGGCGGGGGAGACCTGCGCCGTCTTCCATAACAACAACAGTAAAATAAACATGAAAAACACCCAGCCCCATAAAGCAGGTTATCGTGTTCCCTGGTTCTGGACCCCCCGACTTGCTCCCTCCAAGCACAGCGCACAGCCGGGAGCCCCGCTGGGCGGGGGGCTGGGGTGCGGCAGGGCCTCTTCCCCGGCAGCGCCGATGCGGCCCCGACTGGGACGGGAGCGGAGACGCATCCCCGGGGCCGGTACCTGCTCTCCCGAGCCCGCACGTCAGCACTGCTCCCCGCTTTTGCACAGAGGCAAAAAGGCGCCCCCCGCCTTCCCACCCCCACCCGGGGAACAGGGGTCCGCACTGAGCCAGGTGCGAATATTCGCTCGTTTTCTCCGCGTTTCCCGCCTCCCCTCCCCCGGCCGGGCCCGCGCCCCCCCGCTGCACCCCGGAGTTGGCTGCGGCGCGCGAGCAGTTCCCGTCAGTCCCTCCCCGCTCGCACAGGATGTCCTTATTAGGACATCTGCGTCAGCAGGTTTCCACGGCCGAGCCCTGTGGCTGCGGGGGAGCCCTCCCCGAGGCCCCCCATTTGGGGGGCGCACGGGACCCCCTAAGACCCCAAAGACGGCGCGCCCCGAGGCGAGACGTCCCACCGGGTCGGCGGGAGGGGGCGCCGCGGACGGCGGGGGCGGCCGGGACCCCGCAGAGCCGCGCGGCCCCCCCGGCCCCCCCCGCGCGGCGAGATGGTGCGCGCCGGTGACGCGGGGCCCATTCATACGATGCTGCTATAAAAGCGGCGGCCGCGGCGCCTCGTACTCCAACCGCAGCCGCAGCAGCCCCGGGACGAGGCCGAGCCGCGCGGCCCCGAGCGAGCAGGCACCGCGCTCTCCCCCGCGCCGCCGTCTTGGAGCCCCGGCCCCGCTCCGGCCCGCACCCTCCGGCATGATGTTCTCCAGCTTCAACGCCGACTACGAGGCGGCGTCCTCCCGCTGCAGCAGCGCCTCCCCGGCGGGGGACAGCCTCTCCTACTACCACTCCCCCGCCGACTCCTTCTCCAGCGTGGGCTCTCCCGGCGCCGCGCAGGTGAGCTGCGCCCCGCCTCGCGCCTCGGGGTCGCCGCGGGGGGACGGCGGGGCGGGGCGCGCAGGAAGCGAGGCCGGGACCCGCGCCCGGGGTGGGGGGACCGGCTGCCCGCCCGCGCCCCGAGCGGGGTACCCCGTCCTGGGAGTCCCGGGCTTGGCGCTCCGCGCGCTGCTCGTAGTAAGCCCCGCGCCCCCCTTCTTTGGCGCGGCAGGTCCGCGCTCCGCCGCCCCGCGGGCCGGCGCCCCAGAACCGGGCTCTGACAGTCGCGGGGACCCGCACCCCCGCGAGGACTCGCGCCCCGCGCCCGGCTGCGCCCGGTCCCCGCGCCCCGCGCAGCCCGGAGCGGGCGGGAGGCGGGCGGGAGGGTGGACGCAGGCGGGTGTGTAAGGCGCTTTCATTGATAAAAAGCGAGTTCATTCAGGAGACTCCGGCGCGGCGCCTGCGTCAGCGCAGACGTCAGGGATATTTATAACAAACTCCCTTTCAAGCGAGTGATGCTGAAGGGATAACGGGAGCGCGGCGGCTGCAGGGCGAGACGGGCGGCGCGCTGCGGAGCTCTAGGCTGGGAGAGGGGGCCCTTTGGCCCCAGCAGAGGGGCCCCTGGGGCGCGTCGCCCCGAGCCCGCTGCCCGCTGGAGACCCCGCTCGCCCCCCCCCCCCCCATGTCCCGAGCCTGCTCGCTCACGCCGGCTCTCCCCTTGTGCCTTCCAGGACTTCTGCGCGGATCTGGCCGTCTCCAGCGCCAACTTCATCCCAACGGTGACTGCCATCTCCACCAGCCCCGACCTGCAGTGGCTGGTCCAGCCTACCCTGGTCTCCTCCGTGGCCCCCTCCCAGACGAGAGCCCCCCACCCCTACGGAGTCCCCCCTCCCGCAGCCGGGGCTTACTCCAGGGCTGGCGTCGTGAAGGCCATGACTGGAGGCCGAGCGCAGAGCATTGGCAGGAGGGGCAAGGTGGAACAGGTGAGTTCTCGGACACTCTGGCGGGGGGGCAGGAGGCCCGCTGTCTGGTGGACATGGGGAGTGCAGAGCAGTGAAGCCAGTGTTGTCAGTGACTAGGCAGGGAACCCTGGCTCCAAGCCCTCTCCATCCTGAGTTAGACTCTGATACCCCAAGACCCCGAGAGTTTCCTCTCTAAAGGAGAATCCCTGATGGGTTCTTATCTCCTGCTTGGAGACTGGGCTCTTCTTTGTTCTCTTCCTGAGGATCTTATTTTAAATGCAAGTCACACCCAGCCTGCAATTGCAGGTTAGAAATGGATTCACAGGAGAGGTGCCAGGAAGCTGGGAAGCTGCAGGAGCCAGTTTCACAGGGGTGGGTGAGTGGAACTGATGGCAGACACTGTTACTGAGTGTTGGTCTCCTACAATTATTTTGTAGTTGTCCCCTGAAGAGGAAGAGAAGCGGAGAATCCGAAGGGAAAGGAATAAGATGGCTGCAGCCAAATGCCGGAACCGGAGGAGGGAGCTGACAGACACACTGCAAGCGGTGGGTAGAGCTCACGGGCCACTTTCTAAAACTCAAGGGGCGAGTTGGAGATTGAGCATGGGGAGCAGGGTCCCGAGTAAGCCCGCGTCTCATGCTCCGCTTTCTCCCTCTGCGTGCAGGAGACAGACCAACTAGAAGATGAGAAGTCTGCTTTGCAGACTGAGATTGCCAACCTGCTGAAGGAGAAGGAAAAACTAGAGTTCATCTTGGCAGCTCACCGACCTGCCTGCAAGATCCCGGATGACCTGGGCTTCCCGGAAGAGATGTCGGTGACTTCCCTTGATCTGAGTGGGGGGCTGCCTGAGGCTACCACCCCTGAATCCGAGGAGCCCTTCACTCTGCCCCTCCTCAACGACCCTGAGCCCAAGCCCTCTGTGGAGCCGGTCAAGAGCATGAGCAGCGTGGAGCTGAAGGCCGAGCCCTTTGATGACTTCCTCTTCCCAGCTTCGTCCAGGCCCAGTGGCTCCGAGACAGCCCGCTCTGTGCCAGACATGGACCTGTCTGGTTCCTTCTATGCAGCAGACTGGGAGCCCCTGCATGGTGGCTCCCTGGGGATGGGGCCCATGGCCACAGAGCTGGAGCCCCTGTGCACCCCAGTGGTCACCTGTACTCCCAGCTGCACTACTTACACGTCTTCCTTCGTCTTCACCTACCCGGAGGCTGACTCCTTCCCCAGCTGTGCGGCCGCCCACCGCAAGGGCAGCAGCAGCAACGAGCCCTCCTCTGACTCGCTCAGCTCACCCACGCTGCTGGCCCTGTGAGCAGGCGGGCAGGGGAGGCAGGAGGCACACGCAAGTGCCACTGCCCGAGTTGGTGCATTACAGAGAGGAGAAACACGTCTTCCCTCAAGGGTCCCGGTAGACCTAGGGAGGACCTGATCTGTGCGTGAAACACACCAGGCTGTGGGCCGCAAGGACTTGAAAGCATCCACGTGTGGACTCAAGTCCTTACCTCTTCCGGAGATGTAGCAAAAACGCATGGAGTGTGTATTGTTCCCAGTGACACATCCGAGAGCTGGTAGTTAGTAGCATGTTGAGCCAGGCCTGGGTCTGCGTCTCTTTTCTCTTTCTCTTTAGTCTTCTCATAGCATTAACTAATCTATTGGGTTCATTATTGGAATTAACCTGGTGCTGGATATTTTCAAATTGTATCTAGTGCAGCTGATTTTAACAATAACTACTGTGTTCCTGGCAATAGTGTGTTCTGATTAGCAATGACCAATATTAAAGTAAGGAAAGATATGACTTTATTTTCTAGTAGATAGAAATAAATAGCTCTATCCATGTACTGTAGTTTTTCTTCAACATCAATGTTCATTGTAATGTTACTGATCATGCATTGTTGAGGTGGTCTGAATGTCCTGACATTAACAGTTTTCCATGAAAACGTTTTATTGTGTTTTTAATTTATTTATTAAGATGGATTCTCAGATATTTATATTTTTATTTTATTTTTTTCTACCTTGAGGTCTTTTGACATGTGGAAAGTGAATTCGAATGAAAAATCTAAGCATTGTTTGCTTATTGTTCAAAGACATTGTCAATAAAAGCATTTAAGTTGAATGCGACCAGCCTTGTGCTCTTTTCATGTTCAGAGTTTTGTAAGATTCTGAAAGGCATCAGAGACCAGTTTGTCTGGAAGGGTGACTCCCAGAGGGGGACACACCCTTTGTTTGATCTCTTATCAAAGAGGAGAAGCAAACCCAAGAGCTGATGTTGGACTATTTCATAAAGACCTGTCTTCACACTATAATGCTAAGATTCTCTACTTTCTTATTCTTTCTTTTTCTATTTTCAAAACCAAAGGGAAGGGATATTTAAATCTAGTTCATGTTAAATTAACATTAGTTAATATTAAATTTCTATGTCTTGATGTTAAAGGAATCCTCTCAGCAAACAGAATTAAGCTTTGCCCAAACCACTTTAACTTTTTGTTCCCACAAAATCACCTTCAGGGTGAATTAGTTGAAGAATGGTGGGAGTGGATGACTTTCTCAGTATTGCACTATTGGGATTAGAATCTTACGCAGCATCTGCAGCGCCAGTTCGATCCCCGGTCCCTGGCGAGGGTCCAACATGGCATGACAGACCTCTCCTGCCACGCCCGCTGCTCCCCTCAGCAGTGCATTTCATCACTCTGCCTGTTCTGTTTCCTGCTCTGGCTCTGGTGAATCCTCTCACCCTCCAGCGTTTCTGACTGTACCCAGTGCTTGTATAAATAAATAAATAAATCTTAAAAAAAAAAATAAAGAATCTTAACTTCTTCACTCGTTACCCTATCCATCAGGCTGAACTGCCTCTTAATACTTGGTTTAAAAACAAAACTTTTCAGTCCATATCTCTAACATACATATATTTAGTTTGACTATTTTTATTCTTGGAAGGAAAAGAAGGCTATTGTCCTATCCCGTACTAATAAACTTCTGAACTTTCTTTAACACATCATATACCTGACACGCAGTTTACACCCAGGGGAGGAAAAAGCTGACTCTGAACATTTGAGAGAAATTGTAAATAGTACAAATAATGGTTGATCTTTTAGCAAATAAAAAGTTACATAATCATTCAACAAGAAGTCAACATGACTCTGAATAAGCCATAACTTAGACACTTTATCATCTTAAAGAAGAACATGACCTTTGTCCGGGACACCTCTGGTAATGGGGCACTGACACGCACTAGTACAAACCACAAGGAAAGGAGCCGGCGCCTTCCTCCTTGTCTCAGGTATCACACAGGCGCCACTTGGAAGCCAGAGTCAGCGTTTGTACACATGCTGGGAGACGAGGTAGCTCAGCGCCAGCCTTCTAATGCTTCGGCGATAATGAAAATCACTGGGTGGTTGTGGGGTGTTGCGCTCTGTCAAGATGCAAGTTTTCATTAAAAATCACTGTTCCTTTGCCCTGTTCCTCACGTAATCATTGACAATGGGAAACAATGTACTTGAGGCACTTAAGGGCACTGATACGGGAACACATCATTTGCATATTATTTGTCTGTCTTACAATAATGAAAGTGGCCTTTGACACTTCCCCTGCCCCATTTGCTGATCTGAAATGACAGGTGATACACCCTGTAAGGAAACCAGCTGGCTCCATTACATGTAGAGCACTAACAACCCAGGAAGGACATTTCCCAGGTGGCAAAGCGGGGCTGGACCTCTATCCCTGGACACTGAACTGCTCCTGGGAACCTGACCAAAGACCCCTGTCAACCCCAAAATGACCCTAGAAAGAGCAAGCACTGCTTTCCCTTTGGCAGCCCTGGCCAAGGCTCAGACACAGACCCTTCTTTGAGTTCCCCATATCCCAGCTGAGCCCAGGCTGCTGCATCAACAAAACTGCATGAATGGTCCAGAGAGAGGGAGTCAAACGTAGGGAATCTCTTTGATTGGCTTCTCAGAGGCCATAGGGCTTCTCATAAGGTGACCTCCCACCAAGCCTCCTGCTGTTCATTCTCATGTGATTAAGAGAAAAGAATTTCCTCTCTTTCTAACTAAAGTGCTCCTACCAAATCCGCTCCTGACTCAGAATCCCACAACTCCCATAGATGATAGACAGACACTGGGAATGTCAACTTCATTTGGGAAGAAACTGATCCTCACCCACATGCCATGACCTCAAATTGGCTTGGAAAAAAAAACCAACACACCACAACAATTATCTCAGGGCTCCATCACTCAACACTGATACAAGAGATCCACGTGTATTAGAAGGGCATGGAGACAACAATGGGGAGGAGTCATTTCCATATGGGGAGCGTGGATAGTTTAATTCATGCATGAAATCTCAGACCTGGCTCAGTTCTGGGTCCATAGTTCAGGGTTACTTAGTATTTACCCAATGGATGAATGAAAAATATTCTCCACTCATTCTTAAAATGATCCTATCCTAGATCCTGTAATAATACTGAGCAATGAAGATTTCACATCTTGGAGGTCTGGTTTCAAACAAACACCCAATTCCTAACTTGTGGAAGTCCTCCACAACCACTCTGGATTAGCTCTGCCAATTCATCTTCAAAGTGAATGCACAGCCATTGTGTTTCTGGTGCCAAATTAATTTTAGATTGAAAAAGAGTAGGAGAAAAAATTATCTCTATATAGTAGTGGATTGTAGATTCCGCATCATCTTTGCATGCCCCTGCATCTTGTGCAATTATCAAAATTAAAGGGTAGCATTTAACAATTTATTTTTATAACAGTAATTTTGTATCAACAACAACTTTCCATGTGCCAGTGAAGGGAAATCAACGATGCTATCTTTAATTAATGGACAAAGAAGAGACTGAGGTAAAGTAAAAGTTCTCAGATGATTAAGGAATCAGCTGAGGTTTCAATGTTGTTCAATTAAAGAAAACTAAAACAAAAAATCAATCTTTAACATGGTATAAGAGGCTTCATCCAAACACAGAAGAATCAAATTCCACAAAAAATAAAGGCATGTGCATCTTGAATGCTGTCCATCAGAGCACCTGAGGTGGTACTGTTTTGATATTAACATTAAAAATCTACATTGACTGCTGCCTAGCTCCTTCTCACGTCCCTGTGTCCGCAAGCACTCTGCTCAATGGGAGGAATGGCCTTTCTTCCATCCCTAACACATAGTGTGCTTGTTCCTGCTGCAGGACCTTTGCACCTGCTGTCCTTCTGCCTGAATCTTTTCCCTCCACAAAAGCTCCTTCCTGTCATTCAAGACTCAGTTCAGGGACAGTCCAAGAACTTTCCCAGGCATTCTGTCAGGAGTACCTTCTGCACACACTCCCTCCTCATGACTCCCCACCCCAGTATACTGCTTTCTTGTTGCTGCCTTTTTTTTTTTTTACAGCACATATCACTATCTGCAACACTTAATTTATGTTTTCTTTTCTTCTTCTTTTTAAAAACAAATTTCTTCCCTCTTGTAACTGGTTGGTAAATTCTCTGTGAACAGGAATCTTTTCTGTCTTGACTACCTCTGGTCCCCAATGCTCATTAAATGTATGATGGTGGGGAAAAAACATGAATGAAAACAGAATAAAGACTGAAGGCAGATGAAAATGGCAGAATTGTCTAAAGAGTGACAATTAGAACTTAAAGGTGAAGATGCACTATGTACTTTATAGATTTATTCTTGGGTGGCAGAGACTGGTCCTTGGTGTTTTCTTTTTTAACACCTATCAAGGGTTCTACAATATTCAGATGAGGAAATAGCTAGCTTGGGAAGGAATTTTAAACAGGGCAAAAAATACAAGTATACAGCAGGTCAGAGACACTTTCTGATTAATTACAAATTGAGAAGTTTGCTTCAGGATCAAATGGAGAATGGATGTGAAAATAAATGTAGGTATGATCATCATGAGTTAGGAATTGGATATACGTTTGAAACCAGACCTCCAAGATGTGAAATCTTCATTGCTCAGTATTAGTACAGGATCTAGGATGGGATCATTTTAAGACTGTGTGTGAAATAGATTTCTGCTTGTTGAAATAATGGAGAATTTTTTTCATTTATCCATTGGGTAAATAGTAACCCTGAACTATGGACCCAGGACTGAGCCAGGTCTGAGATCTCATGCGCGAATTAAACTATACACACTCCCCATAAGGAAATGACTCCTCCCCATTGCTATCTTACAGGAGGAAACAATTTTTAGACTATTGCATAAATCCACAAGTTCATTGGTTCCTAGCAATTGTGTGTGCTACCTTATACAACCTACAATTTAGTTTGTATTAGAAAAGAAGAATAAGGGTTAGCTGCTCTCACTATCATCATCAATATCAGCGTCATTATTATAATTTTCCAAGAATATGCGCAGACCTGAGGAGAAGCAGAGGAGTAAATTCATTGAATCCTGATGAATGAATTTGAAGTGCCTGAAGGGTGTCAGCTGGATAGATTTCCACTTTCTTTGCCCAAAGGAGAAGGCAGCAGAAACATAAACCAGTTTAGTTATAACACAATTCATTTTAATGGCTCCACACACCCACTCACAGACTAAACTAAGCTTCCTTTCCTTTGCCCAAGCTGTACAAGAGGATGGAGAGGAGCAAAGAGATGTGGCCATTGTCCCAAGGAGGCTGCCTAGGCTGGTGGCCATTGGCTCATCCCATTAATAAACCCTTTTACTTTTAGCTCCCACTGACTTGAAGGTTTGGTTCAGTCAGTTGATTAAGGTAAGAACCCAGAGGGGCTTGATCATCCCTTACATGAGAAGCAGATTCATATGAACAGGCACAGTTAGAGTCTAGAGCAGAAGGCAGCACCTTCATCACCAGGGTAAATGGCACAGGCCCAGTTGCTACCATGTTTACTTTGGGGAGCAATGTGTGGCCAGAACTACAGACACAATGACTCATTCAGACTTTTTAGTCAATCATGAGACTGTTATCACAGCTGAACTCATCAAAACCAGATGAAAAACCGTATCAATCTGGGTTTGAGGAGTTGAATCGACATATCAGAGTGGTTCAGTGCATGGCCTCAGCTTTGAATTCTGGTTCCTTGACCTTGGGCAAGCTTACTTCCTCCCCATCTGTAAAAGAGAGGGAATTATTGCACCCACCTCTTGATGTATATATATTAAA